TCAAATGTAAAAATTCTCGAAGGGACTTTAAACAACATACAATCAATAAATCCATCCATTGAGGCGTAAAATGTATACAGTCATGTAACACAAAAAAAAATCTTTTCATAGATGTATAAAATAAATAATATCTAACTGCCCGCCTTAAATAAAAGATTAGAAAAATCCAGTTTATTATTATCATAGTTTATTTTATAAAAGCTGTTCATTTCCACAGGCACCAAACTTGTTGTTTATTTTTAATTGTATCCCCATATACTAGGGGGTCAAAAAACATGATTTTGATAGCCTGCAGATGATGCATGACTTAAAAATGATATCTGTGAGGTGTTTTAAAATTAAGATTTTAATTTTGAAGATGCAGAAATTGGAACTCTTAAGCATATTGTTTTTGAAACCTCGATAAACAGTCAGTGTGGGATTTCACTTGTCGAATATCACATGACTTTTCTACCCTTAATAATGTGTTCGGAACCTTTTATTTTACTGTGTTTAAGTTCGGATAAAAAAAATTGGCAGTGGCTTGGCGAGAGTATAGCCAGACTACAGAGAGATAGTTTGGCTAACTTGCACGTGAAATAAACAGAAAAGTTATGTTGCGTTTCAGTTTTCACCACCCTATTATAACAGGTCTGGACGATTTCCAAATAAGGAAGTTAAGAGCGATAACCGAGAATTGCTATTAATACACAGAATATACTATATGTAGTCCATACGATAAACACTTGTATGAGTTGATCTACGCATATATGGTATTTAAAGGGGCATGGACACAGTTTAAACTGAATTATTTAAACCAATTTTATTGCTTACTATTCTTAACTTATAATAGGCATCATCTAATGATTAGGAAAAATTTGAACATCACTTGTTGATTAACAAACGAGATACAGAACATAAAGTTCTTTGTAATGTAAACAAGGTTCATGCCTTGTTTTTGTTTACATATAGAAAATATATTCATAACAAAATAAAATTCAGCAAATCACTAGAAACTGTCTAATTTTAATAAGAACTATAACTTCTTTATTAAAATTATCTTCTTTGAACGAACACACATTAGTATATAAATCTATGTAAACAAAACATGACACGTATTTACAAAACAAAGGTTTTGAGCTCTGTCTGTCTTGTATCTCGACAGCTGAAGTTCAATTTTTTAAGATCATTAGAAAGACATAAGTGAATTGATTTTAAAAATGGAAAAATAAATTTGAATTTTTTTTCGCTGAAACTGTGTCTATGCCCCTTTAAGCATCATCGATGAAAATCGAACAGATAAGCAAAATTATATTTACAAATTATAAATTCTGGTAAATGTTATAATTGAACTTGATAAGAACTTGCTGGTGCGATCTATACCTCCGTAAACGATTACATTCTAACATGCATTTTTTCTTTTCCAAGATAAAAATGTCAAGGTTGATCACGGTAAATATGTGGGGAATGCCTTATTCTTCAAAAGTTTGCATGTAACTACTACAGATTTTTTGATAAAAAAATCTTTTTGAGGAAAAAAACAATAGCACGTGTTACCTTTTTGTTCTTTTAAAATATGTTTTGGGGTGTGTAAAAATGCTGTTGTCTGATTGGACAGAGAAATAATAACGTGTGCTTGATGTACATTTATAGCAACTTTCAGTTATCGTTCTTGACTTCCATATTTGGAAATCGTCCAGACCTGTTTTATCCGTTATATTTCTATACCAGAAGTCTCTGATGAGATTGTAGCTCTACTGGTCTATACGTATAAAAAGAAAGAAAACTTATATTTGAAATTTTTGCAACAGGTATTAGGAAATAGAATTATGTATCTTAATGTATAGACTACTTGTTTGCTACATTATATTGAAATCAGGCTACACCTGTAGAAGGGGAAGTGTTTTAAAGGATTTTTGCAGAAATTTCCAACTTAGTAACAATTAAAGGCAACAACCTTCATCGAAAACAAAAATCAATGCACTTAATAATGCAATCTACTTAAAATTAGATGTTAGATCCTCTCGCATACTCGCTATACTAATATCTACATTGTAACAACATCTTATAGAGGATCAGTAGTCATACAGTAGAACGAGTGATCTGTTTTTGAACGAGTGATCTGTTTTTAAATTCTATGAGACAGGTACAATGAATAAAGGCAATTAATCCACTCAAAATTAGAATAGTGAAGTTGAATCTTCCAAAAGTTTACAGTTCTTAGACAAATCAAACACTATTGGCAGGTAAACAAACGAACAAACAATCAGAATGCATGTATATATATATTTCAATTTATCTAAAAGCATACTATTACAGAAAGTATTTCGAGAAAAAGATATATACTGTACAGGACTCTACAATTTATTAAAAAATGTATGATTGCAACAGTTTGAAAAATAGATTAATTTGATGCCTGAACAAACTATTTCATAGATAAATAATTTTAAGTTTTTGTAACAAAAAGATATAAACAATCAATACTATTTTCTAAATGTGAAGACATAAATTTACTCAATTTCTGGTTGCTTTGAATATTACAATTGGAAGTATTTAGCACCCACAAATATCAGTTTTTCAAATAGAAATATTTTTCATAGAATCACGATTCAATTAAATACTGCTTTGGGGCCTTAGCTTTAAAATTACACACAGACTGCAAGTAACCTGTAACTTAGAAAGGAAGCATTTAAACATTTTGACAAATTTGCAGGACTGAAGTAAAAACAGTATTTACATTCTGAGTAAGTTTATTTGATTCCCCTGTCTAGCTCACGATATTTTCCTCGTCCATATTATGGGACCAATATAATCAGCATTTTTTCCAGTAAAAATTAAGCATCAATGTCAGTTCATACGAAAAAAATCTTAATCTTAATTTGCTTTGAAATCATAATAATAAAGAGATCATACAGAAAAAATACTACACATCTTTGGTTTTAAAGTAAGAAATGCAGAGAGTATTGAATATTATCTGTTAAAAATTGAAACAAACATCTTTAATTTAGTTTGGAGAAATTGGAGAACTATTGTTTTGTAAACAAGTGATTAATGTGGTTATAATGGAAAGGAATCTTTACATGTAATACAAGAAATTAAACTATAGAAAAATGTGAAAAGTTTACAGACGGACGGACAGACAGCTAGACGGACGGACGGACTAATGACGGACAAAACGTGATCAGAAAAGCTAACTTGAGCCTTCGGCTCAGGTAAGCTAACTAGAGGATTTATGTCTGCATATATAGATAAGAATAGGCTTAATAAGGGTTTTTTTTTGAAAACATAAACAAAAGTAATATCTAGAATGTACTAAAAGTTATTCTTTGAAATTCTTAATTTAAAAAATCTTACAGCTTCAGAGGATTTATATCAGTATATATAGATAAGAATAGGCTTAATAAGGTATTTTTTAATAAACTAAACAAAAGTAATATCTAGAATGTACTAAAAGTTAAACTTTGAAATTCTTAATTAAAAAATCTTACAGCTTCAGAATTTATCAAATCAAAAGAGTATATTAACAAAAAAAAAACACGAAGCAGAAAACAAAGCAAACAAACAAACAAACAAAACACAGAAATAAAAAATGGAACCAAGGGGTAAAAAGCAGCAAAAAAAATCTAAACTACAAAAATAGACAAATAAAAATTTACTTGAAAAAAATAAGGGAGCGAAAAAAAAATAAGCACATAATTAAGCAACACAAATGAAAATAATGGTGAGCTACATAAATAGCACTTCTGAAGAAACAAAACCGCTGGCAAAAACTCAAGATGAGGATTCCAAAAATAAAATGATGAGGACACAATTAAGAAACACAAATGTAGATACAAGAGAGCTTCACGAGAGGAACTTCGAAAGGTTTCCGTAAATTGGATCTCTAAAGAAACAACAATCTGAGGACAAAAACACAAATGTTATGATGAGGAATCAAATGATGCCAACTTCAGAGACATAAAAGAGCAAACTCAGAAGATTTTCTCGCAAAGAGGACACATGAAGAAGCAATCGCGCAATTGGTGAAACAAACAGGATAACAAAGATGAAGAAACATCAGCAAAATTGTCAAAATCATTAACAAACAGATGCCAGATAATGACCAACACAGGGGGAGGAAGAGTGCTAATGACAAACTAAAGTGAAAGTGAAGAGGGAATAATTAGGATTATTAAACAAAAAAGAGGAAAAGGAGGAAAAACTAAACTAAACAAGAGAAATAAAAATACTGAGTACATTATGTATGTATGTTCTGTTTTTAAACAAGGATACGCTGTGCCAAGTTTGGTTGAAATTGACCCAGTGGTTCCGGAGAAGAAGTCGAAAATGTGAAAAGTTTACAGACAAGTGGACGGACGGACAGACGGACTACAGACAAAATGTGATCAGAAAAGCTCATTTGAGCTTTCAGTTCAGATGAGCTTAAAAGATAGATGAAGACGGAAGGATATCGTATTTAGAGATATAAAGAAGAAAAGAAAGGAAATATATTGAATGTTCTTTCAGAATTTTTTGTAATTGGGTGAACTGTTTTTTTTAAAAATCATCTCAGATTATGTCTGCATGCAAAACTGTTTCTGTGCTATATTGTAGTATTTAGTGAGAGTATACGAAGAAAATTCCTGTTTTTGTTCTGTCTAGTAAATAACTTAAAATATATTTTCAAAGTAGAATGTAAATATGGAACAGTAAGGTTTTTTAAAAAAATATATTTTGTTGACATAAAGAGGAAAATATCGAAGCTAGAACAAGAGAACAGGTTTAAAAAGTGGAACGGGATGTTATACTTAAATATGCTGGATATTTGTGGGTTCAAAATGTTTAAATGATACTCTATTTATATATACATCACAGACAGTACAATTGTATATAAAAGAAAGTTAGGTATAATTTGAATACTGAGAGTTTCAATTTCACTACGTTTCTAAATAATGTATTACCGGGTAATAAGATTTTTATCTATTTATAAAAAAAAAATTACAACCAAGAAACAAGAAAAAGAAAAAAAATTAAATCGGGATTCCAACCAGTAAAATTTCAAGCAGAAAAAGTCCATGTGTCTAAAATAAACCAAGGTACCAAAAACTTCCTAAAAGTGGATGTGATGGCGGTGGTGATGGCGATGCTGGTGATGGCGGTGCTGGTGGTGCTGGTGATGGCGGTGCTGATGACGGTGCTAGTTGTGCTGGTGATGGCGGAGCTGGTGGTGCTGGTGATGGCGCTGGGGGGTTCAAGAGATTCTGTACCATAATCCAAATCCATCTGCTTACACTTATTATACCATTTTTGATGAAGGTATATGCCGCATGGAGGATCTCGCGTGGACGAGATCTTGGTGGATTCCCATTTCTGTTAACACTTTCTGCTAATTCTTCTAGCAAATTAACTACTTCTTGAAGTTTTGGGTTTAATTTTGGGGGACTGCTTAATACAAATCCTTTAAAACAATAAATTATAAAAAGGTTGGTGTATCACCTACATATATTAACAAAATCAAATAATTTTTAAAAAGATGAGGCTTGTAACTTGTAACACCGAATATATATTTCTTTCGAACCGAAATTTTGGGAATTCTGTCGACCATATTATTGTAATAAAAAAGACAAGAACATACCGGTATCGGGAAAATGTAATTAGTGATTAACACTATAGATTCTTAAAAGCCAGTATCAGATTCAAAGAAAGAGAGAGAGGCGGGACACATTTAAGTAACTGCATGACTGAAACAGTTTACAGAAAAATTTCCCTCATGGAAAGAAAATTGAATATGCTTCACACAAGGACATGGTCGTTCAGAAAGTTTCAAATATTCAATCAAGATCTTACGATGATATTCGATAATAACCAAGAAACATGTATGACTATGAAGAAAACTAATGCTGTATTTAAACAAATCGATTTTAAAAATCCATCTTTTAAAAAAATCAAAATAATAATCAAATCATAATAAGATTCTAAATTTAGAAAATTGCCGGTGATCGAAATTACAGGAATAAAAAGTATGTTATGGGAGGGAGGACAAGCATTTAAAGGGAAATTTACCATGGGAGATGAGAGACCCCCTCCCCCACCCGCGTTCTACGGATTTGCTTGCATTTCATTCAACAGGGCATACCTGAATTTCCGATAATATGCTGGAAGACTCCTCCCTTGTTCCATATATCTAAACATCTGCCACTCCCTTTTATTTGGACAGTTCTATTAGGTCCATCTTCCCACAGGAAAGGAATGAGAGTGTCTCGCCAGAGGATCACCCACTTGTACTGAAACTGCACTCCTGCCGGCAACTTTACTCCTACCACCCATCTGCCTGACTTGATGGGGACTTCCTCTAAAAAAGCCAGACATTCAATTAAGATTTTATTCAGTTAAGATTTTACTTTCAACTAACATATTTTGGAATTCAAATTCTTCTTACAGATTTGCATTGCGAAGAAGATACTCGGTAAAAATATTTAAAAGACAAGAGGCCCATGGTCAACATCGCTCACTTGAGCACTTTTGCTAGGAAAAAAGAAGATATCAGTTTATTATTGAAAGTTTACATCCAAAAGGATCTTTAAAGGATTGAATCTACACTAACTAAGGATGCTTGCACATTTCTTTGACTACCTGTGGCTTTATTGTCCTTTAATTTTGAACTTACATTGCCCCCCCCCCCTTCCCAACTTAAATATGACCAATCATGGCTTTGCTGTCCTTGAAATATTTTACCTATATAATTCTATGTAAAACATCGATCGGCCATTGTGGCCCCGCCCTACCCCGTTCTTCATGATTTGAACAAACTTGAATCTATACTACCTAAGTTTGCTTCCATATTCTATAAATTTGACTAATCTTGGCTTTGCTATTCTTGAGAAAAAGATTTTTGAAGAGTTTTCCTACACATTCCTAAGTAAAATTTTGATTGGCCATTGTTGCCCATGTCCTACCCCAGGGTTATAATGATTTGAACAAACTTGAATCTACACTACCTGAGGATGCTACCATATATATACAAGATATACAAGTAACAGCTTTTTAAAAAGCTTGCCTGACTAATGCAATCAATATCTATAGAACCTATAAGCATAAGTTAAAACGTTTACATTGGGGGGAGGGGGGTTAAATTATTTCACAAGAGTAAATTATGAAGATAATGCACAAAACATATATTCATTTCTATTGTAAAATCAGAGCGATGTTTTATATAAAACGTATATATTGTTTGTATCCATAAAAAATAAAATCGTGGCATGTCCTATCCCCGAGACGTAAAGATGAACACCTCATTGATCTAAACAATTAATTGATTAATGATATAAATATGACTAATCGTGGCTTTGTTAATCTTGAGAAGAAGATTATAAAAGAATTTTTATATATTCCTATGTAAAACTTTGATCGGCGATATTGAATGGCCAGCTAGGTGCGGATTCTGGGATGGGGGTCATGAATTGAATAAATTTAAACTTCTACGCAAAATGTTAGGAAAATTGCATGTCCATATATCTGTGGATGTAAATATGATTGATCATATTTACTATTCTTTAGAGAAGATTTTTAAAAATGAATAATCCTATATATTTCTATGTAAAAATTCCGACAAAAAGGAACAGACATGATATGGCCATGCAGTTTTCATTTCCATTCAATAGAATAATCCAGGAAAAGGGCGCAAAAATTACACGTGACATTTGATCAAATTTGAATGTACACTTACCTAAAGACAAATGGACTAATCCAGTAGCTGCAGAACTGTAAACGGACATGTTTACATGTATTTGACCATAACGCTACAGATCCCGTAATGCAAAAAAAGGTGCAATTTACGGCGCAAGGTTGTTTGGTCAATCAACTACCGTTCACTCCCTAATACTAGCTACTACCCCGCCCTATCCTTCGGGGTTATGGGGACTAATTCATTAACCAATCTGTGGATAGCTCACTTTTTTAAAAGAATTTCTCTATATCCATATCCCTACCCTGGGGGTCACTGATCGCAATAAACTTCACTTCATAAACTTAATTCTCGGATCGTCTATATACTGAAAATGATAAACGCGCTTGATTAATAATCCTATAATTGCTATAAAACTTCATTAACTCAAGCGAGATTCTACACAAACTGTAGGACGACTATAAAAGGTATGCATGTGGAATAAAATACAGAGATTGGTAAAAAAAAAAAAATTGTTTACTATTGTTGGAGTGAAGGGTTAAAGAATAATGACCACTGCTATATTGTGGATATATCTAAAAAAAAGTGCGCAAAAAATCTTGCTTTGCCATTGTTGCACCTTTTTTTGCATTACGGCATCTGTAGCGTTATGGTCAAAGACAAATACATGTATATAAATTATAAGGCTACAGTTCTGAAGCTATACCAATGGATGCTTCCATACAAAAATATGAACAATCATGACTTTGCTATTCTTGAGAAGAAGATTATTAAAGAATTTTCATATATATCTTAGTAAAACTTTGATCGGCTATTGTGGCCCCGCCCTACCCCTGGGGGTCAGGATTTGAAAAACTTGAATCTACACTACCTGAGGATGTTTTCCCATAAGCCTCATCTTTCCTGGCACAGTGGTTCTTGATAAGATTTATTAAAAATCAGTGTAATTGAACTTTACGAAAAGTCATTGAACAATCATGGCCAAAGAACAAACATTAAAACCATTTAACGCTGTAATTGACAAGTTTGGTGAAATACCCGTAATCTACCCTAATACTCGAAACATTGAAAAGTTAACAGTCAATCCACGGACCACCTCCATACCCTTCATCGTCGTCTCTGAAAATGATAAACGCGCTTGATTAGAATTGCTGAAAACTCACCTCAAGCGAGATTGTCGCCTGTAGAGACGACTATAAAAGGTTAGGAGGTGGATAAAATACAGAGATTGGTAAAAATGTGTCTAGTATTAGGGAGTGAAGGGTAGTTGATTGACCACTGCTGGAATGTGGATAAATTCTCCCCAAAAGTGCGCATAAAATGTTGCGCCGTAAATTGCACCTTTTTTGCATTACGGGATCTGTAGCATTATAGTTAAAGACAAATATATAAATCATAAGGCTACAGTTCTGCAGCTATACCAAAGGATGCTTCCATATAAAAATATGAACAATCATTTCTTTGCTATTCTTGACAAGATGATTATTAAAGAATTTTCATATATATCTATATCTATATCATATATATCTAAGTAAAACTTTGATCGGCTATTATGGCCCCGCCCAAGTCAGAAACTTCTGCGATATAAAACTGAATTTTCAAAGTTTATGACGGCTAGGAAATTGAAATGTCAAATTTACTAAAAACTGTATTGAAACTAAAAGGGTTTCACCACCCCGTAGTGAAGATTTACCACAATAATAAATCATGCAATGAACGCATTAATCATAATGAATGATTTGAACAATTTAGAATCTACACTGTACCAGGATGCTTCCACATAAGTTTCAGCTTTTCTGGCCCAGTGGTTCTTGAGAAGAAGATTTTCAAAGATTTTTCCTATATATTCCTATGTTAAACTTTGATTCCCCATTGTGGCCCCGCCCTTCCCCCGGGGGTCATGATTTGAACAATTTAGAATCTACACTATACCAGGATGCTTCCATATAAGTTTCAGCTTTTCTGGCCCAGTGGTTCTTGAGAAGAAGATTTTCAAAGATTTTTCCTATATATTTCTATGTAAAACTTTGATTCCCCATTGTGGCCCCGCCCTTCCCCCTGGGGTCATGATTTGAACAATTTAGCATCTACACTACCCCAGGATGCTTCCACATAAGTTTCAGCTTTACTGGCCCAGTGGTTCTTGAGAAGAAGATTTTTTAATGACCAAACCCTATTTTTGTCTTTTCTTGATTATCCCCCCTTGCGAGGGGATATGTCCCTTCATTTTAACAATTTAAATTCCCCTTTACCCAAGGATGCTTTGTATCAAGTTTGGTCAAAATTGGCCCAGTGGTTCTTGAGAAGAAGTCGAAAATATGAAAAGTTTACAGACGGACAGACAGACAGACGGACGGACGGACGGACACACATTTGGTTATATATTGGGTACATCAAGTCCAAGTCCTATTGGATACTGCTTATTGGATACAAAAAAAGTGTACACACGAGAGAGCATTATTTGGGTAGTTACTGTTCAAATCTTATTGGATATTAATCCTCGTGTCCGTATTTTATTGGGTTTTTTCTTATTGTTTTTTATTCATTTCAAATTTATTATATATTTAATATTTGCTGGTAAATTCAGACAAGACTGAAAACCTTTGGTTTTGAACCCATATTTTTGTCAATTTCTGTGATATAGCTCTTTTATTGTAACACCCAACTAATTTGTTCTTAGCAATAAGGATATACACCTGTATATTTCAAAATAACTAATATTAAAATATATGAATACCTAAGTGCAAAAAAACTGAATTGTGAAAACACAACTCAACACATCTCAGACTCTGTTCAACCTTTCTTGAATAACAAAATTAAGTATTTAAGGAGAAACCTTTTTGAGTCATGACCAATTAATAATTAGCAAATGCCCATTACATGTTGGGCAGAATGAAGGTATCCAACAGGCTTTGGACAGGTGTCTATACCTGTTGGGTTGTATTTTGACGAAGGGATTAAACTACCCAAGAACAATTGAACATGTGTACATTGTCCAATTCTATTTGGGTTTCTTGAATCTCCTCATCAAAATACAACCCAACAGGTAATGGACACCTGTCCAACTCCTCTTGGATATCTACATCCCACCCAACAGGTAATGGACACTTGTCCAATTCTTCTTTGGTTTCTTGAATTGTTTCATCAGAATACCACCCAACAGGTAATGGACATCCGTCCAACTCCTCTTGGATATCTACATTCCACCCAACAGGCAATGGACACTTGTCTAATTCTTGGGTTTCTTGAATCTCCTCATAAAATACAACCCAACAGGTAATGGACACCTGTCCAACTCCTCTTGGATATCTACATCCCACCCAACAGGCAATGGACACTTGTCCAATTCTTCTTCTTGGGTTTCTTGAATTGTTTCATCAGAATACCATCCAACAGGTAATGGACATCTGTCCAACTCCTCTTGGATATCTACATCCCACCCAACAGGTAATGGACACTTGTCCAATTCTTCTTGGATTTCTTGAATTGTTTCATCAGAATACCACCCAACAGGTTATGGACATCTGTCCAACTCCTCTTGGATATCTACATCCCACCCAACAGGCAATGGACACTTGTCTAATTCTTGGGTTTCTTGAATTGCATCATCAAAATACAACCCAACAGGTAATGGCCACCTGTCCAACTCCTCTTGGATATCTACATCTCACCCAACAGGTAATGGACACTTGTCCAATTCTTCTTGGGTTTCTTGAATTGTTTCACCAGAATACCATCCAACAGGTAATGGACATCCGTCCAACTCCTCTTGGATATCTACATCCCACCCAACAGGCAATGGACACTTGTCTAATTCTTGGGTTTCTTGAGAATCCCCTCATCAGAATACTACCCAACATGTAATGGACACCTGTCCAATTCCTCTTGGATATCTTCATCCCTTCAATAGTATATAAACTAAAAGGTATTGGACATTCTTCTTGGGTTACTCAAATTTTTTTTCATAAGAAAGAAAACCCAATAGGTATTGGACATTGGTTCAACTCTTCTTGGATATTACATCCCAACATTAGAATAAAACCCAACAGGTGATGTTTATCTGTCCAATTCTTCTTGGGTTACTTATACCCTTCATTAAAATTGTCAAATTTGTCTTGGATATTTATACTCTTGCATTAGATTGCAAACCCAATAAGTATGACATTTACCTTCCCTAGTTGAATTCAAATTTATCTGCATAAGCATACATAAGTCCAAAACATATTTAATACTTTAATTCTAACATTCCACATCTCATTCACTGTACACTTTACAAATGATAGGAAATATATAAGCATTTTGTGCCTAAACTATTTGGCTTTTAAAGAATTTTATAACCATGTTTGCAAAATTTAAATCTAAATATTGGAACTTGGAGCAAGTCATTACAGGTAGAGCAAGATGCTGAAAACCATATTGATAAATAGATCACACCCTTGATAAAATATTTGCCTTCAGTTGCTAAGATTGTGTTGTATTATATGGAAAATTTCTATAATCCTGTTTATTACAGATACATGTACAATACATATTTTCCCTGTAATAATAAAAATACTTCTGGGATGTAAAAGAATGGATTAAATAGTCACCGATGTTAAAAGATATTACATGATCTCATTAATCTGGTTTGGAAATCACAAACTTAGTTTTGAAGCCGATAAAACAGTGTCGCACCAGAAAACTCAGTTACAAGTACAATGAATGAATTCCTTGTATCAAAACTTTAAAATAATTGATGCACTATGTCCAAATCTTTTCGACAAATCGGGATAAAGATATTAAATCAAATCATCACTGTTATAAGTCTTAGAGCTAGAGAAAAGTCATTAAATGCCCAAATTTTACATGTAAGACTTTGATCCTATATTTCAATAAATGTCAAAATGGTTTTATTTTTGTTTCTGTTCAATACTTTCTTCTTCAGGGTCTCTCATGGCCTATACTGTATGATACCTCCATTGACCCTGCTCTTTTATATTGCCATATGTTTATCCAGTAGCAGTGGTTATGCTCAGGCAATCTTTGAAATATTCCTCATTTCATGCATCTCCTTCAGTTCTGCCTCTGTCCATTTTATTCATTCTGCAATTAGATAAAGGCATTTCTTTGCCGTATAAAACATGTTTTTCTTGACTACAGCAAGATCACCCTTTATGTTGATCAAACCCAACCAAGAAGTAGAAGTATATTTCTTATTCAGAAATATGTATTGATAAATAAAATAGAAGAAAAACTAAATTCTATCAACTCTTTTTTTTTCTTCTATGTCTAACTGCATCTTCATCATATCCCCCATCCGCCATAAGTTTATCAAAATGGAATCATCATTGAACACACAAAACGATGTTGCATATTAATTAGACAGTACGTTAGTTTCTGAGTGTTAAGAAGTAGATTTTAAAAAGATTTTACACCTATTCTTTGCAAATTTTAGACTTCGAATGTAACACTATCAGTACATTAGGGGTACATAATCTTTAAAAAAATCTCTACACTTAACGATAAAGCTTTCACATTAGTATTGTTTTTAGCCCAATGGTTCTGCTAAAGAGGATTTAAAATTGACCCAAACCTTACTAACTGCTTTGAAATTATGTTGACAGGGACAGAGACACACTTGACACTCCATCCCCCCTTCCTGGGGTATGCTTTGAACAAAATTTAATTAAAATTGACTAAGCTGGATAGAAGTTGAAAATATGAAAAATTACAGTCAAACAGATTATGAATAACTTTCAGCACATCAGACATGAAGTAGTGATCCTTAAATAAAATACACCTACAAGATGAAGCTGTTTTATTCCTTTGAAGTGATATCTAGTATTGTTTCTTTTCCTGTATGCCACCTCTATCAGAACAAAATCTTATACATGTATTAACATAACCTATGACCATATAGTACCCCAGTATTTACTTTACAATTAATTAAGTTCTGGAACCAACCCTCAGATGCCCTTAAAACAAATGATTCTAAACTGGCAAAGGTAAAGGGCATCTGAAGAATTTAAAATAAAATGATAGTACAAACAAGCAAACAGTGTGCATGAAAATGTTGGCAAACACTAGAAAAAAATACTAAGGTACTTTCTCAAACTTAACATGAATACTAAAGAGGTTTTATGTAGCTGTATTGCACATACCAAAAGCTTTCCTGCAGTTAAAGGTTGGTTGCCTAGTAGTTATGTAGTATGTACAAGTTTTTCCCTCTATCTCTTCTAAATTTAAGAAGCGAAAATGTCTCTAAAAATCTTATGGTTGGCATGAAGTATTCCTGTTCATTTTACTGATTACTTACAATTGTCCTATTTCTGAGGGTCATCTTCTGATGGGTGTGTTCTCTGCAATGTTCACAATTGAAGTTCCTGTTTGACCTGTTACATATTGAAAACCCTCAATGAACATGATTATGGTTTTAATTTCCATTGTAATTATTGATTACTTTTATTTAAAAATCTAAACCAATTTACTGTAACATAATACTTAGGAAAATATTTATGTAATATCAATGGAAAAAAGGAATCATTATCTCCAGTTATCCTATCACAAGTAAGCATTAATCATATAAATTCACATACGTAAACCCATTAGCTTTTTGTGCTATTAAATCATAGTCATCGCTGTGCAATAAAGGAAATCAAGTACTAATCCACAGCTTTGTGGCAATAAAGTTACTATCCCCGAGTAAAAAGTGACAAGCCCAAATATAGAGGCAAAAATTAAAAAGTCGTAAAGTTAAGCCTTAACTTAGGCGTACTTCCGGGGATTACGCCAAAATTTAGTCGGGCGTAATTTGCGTTTCACCAAGTGGCGTAAGTCTAGTCGTAAAAGATACGCTTAGTCACAGGACTAAGTCCTTGACAACGTTGCATTGCGCAGGCGCAAAAACATAAACATTGCCCAAAGCGTACAAACATGTATAAAATGTAGCACGTCAAAGTACAGAATAACACAAGTTATAGGTAAATTAATACTTGCACTAATTGAAACATGCATGGGTTTATAGTGTTATGTAAGAGACATGCATCTTTTAAGAAACCAATTTTAGTTTTTTACAACATTTCAATGATAAAAGTCTAATAAATTGAAAGGATGAAAAGGACAGTACATGTACTTGTATTTCGGAATTAAGCAAAACTATTCATTTTGGAAATTTAATTACAGCCATACCCCCTCTTCCCAAAATTGATACAGGTTAATAACTTCGCCTTTGATAATAAATTTCATGATTCGATAAATACTGATTCTACTGACAAATACAAATAATTAAGTTTGAGACATAATAAGATTTTTAAAAATTTTAATAAGAAATGTATATGCAAGCAAAAATAATGAAAACAAAATGCAAACAGTTTACAGAAAAAATTTACATAACCCGCTTACGCGGGTTATGTATTTTTTCTGCAGCAGCTGCTTCCGTTCATTCCAGTAATACCAAACAAAGAAAGCATTTTATTGTTTATATTTAAATCTGTTTAAATAATTTTTTAAAGTAGGATTAAAAAGATTAATTATTGTATTAATGATGCGAACGTCTTTATACGTTTCATTGATAGAACAGCCACTGATCAAGAAATCTGTACAAGCGACATTCCGACTGTAGTTCATGCAGTGATAAACGCAATGGGTTTTCTTAAGAAATAAAGGAGATTATATTCAGCGGATGTAAATATATATGAACACATTTTGAGTCAAGAAATAAATTTTACACGTTTACTACTATGGTACATGTAAGATAATCCTGTCTATATTTATTAATTTTTTGTCAATTCAATTGATTCATAATTGTTCAGTTATAGAAAAAAATCTTTACTATCTGCAGATTAAATGTGATGTACCGTTTTAAAAGTACGCAGAGAGAGAGAGAGAGAGAGAGAGAGAGAGAGAGAGAGAGGTTTGGAAAAATGACTACAAAGATATTCTTACAAAAATTCTCTGCTTGTGTGGTCTCTGTCTTTAAAATTTAGTTACAGCTACTCTTTATTTTGTTTTCATTAAAATGTAAGTAATGCAGGAAATCAAAAACATGTACATATTTTCATCTTATATGTGCTTTATATGCGCTCACATGATCTTATACTATGTAAGATTTGCTCTTTTAAACAAAATTATGAACATTAAAGATGTCTTCTGCATCAATGTTTGTCTGAGAAAAAAAAATTAGGAATAATTCATTCTTGAACTTAACTGTGTAATTATCACCATCTTACATCGATATTATAAAAGCAATAATTTATTACCACTTTCAAAAATCTCTCATTTTCTATGAGACCCCAACCCCCTCCCTGGGTTGGGGTCTATGAATCGCCGGGAACATCACTTGTCCCAGATACTTAGGAAAATAATTACTTTTGTCCTTAACTAAGTAATCTGTACATTCAATGTTAATTAATCTGCAAATTCGGGAGATTCTGAACCCTCTCTCCGACCCCCTCTGGATCCACGCATGTGGACGAGAAGTTAATAAGAAATGGACTCTTCAAACATGACAAAAACTATTTGGTTTTAAGATGGGTTATTCTTTTTTGAATTTTTTTCTTAAATGTAGAAAATTACATGAAAGATGATAACTATGCTTTTGAAACCGATTTTTTTTTTTTTTTTTTTTTTTTTTTTTTTTTTTTTGTTATTATTTTTGTTTTTCAGAAAATATGCTGTTGGAAAATATTTTTCAAAATAGACAATTTTAATGGGTCTCTTTTTAGTAAATGAAAAAGAAACTAGAGGTACCGTAAGCAATGAGTTCAATAAAAGATATCCCTCCGCCTTCCGTATAAATATAATGGCAGTGTCCATGTTTTGCTGTGGGAAACCCAAAATATGTATCGGATCAAAATGTACAATAAGGCACAATGGCAATATATAATAAAGATTCTGTGAAAAGTACAATAAGGCACAATGTCAATATATAATAAAGATTCTGTGAAAATTTCACCAAATTTCAATCAGTGATATGAAAGGAGTTGCAGATAGAGATGGGTACCCCCAAAGCGTAACAGATGGACGGACGGACATCCCGATTACTAAATACATGTAGTATATACATGTACCGTCCCGTTTTTCAAGCGGGGTGTAGAAATACAGTTATATATGTAAATTGATTTACAATACCTTAGACATACAATACCACAATCAAATGTGTATGAATGCATTGTCAAAACGTAAGAAATCTCTAATAAAACAATCTTTTCTTCTCAGCAGAAATTTATCAAAATATTATTTGAGTACGTTATTACTCAAATCAACTACGTCCCCAAGTAGTTGTAACAACACGCACCCCCTCCCCCTCTTCATAATATGTATAATTAAATAATGCATTGTTTGTATTTTAAATTCTTCTTAGAACCTTACTTTTTCTTTAGAACTCGCTAAAATTAATAGAAAGGCCTTATTTTAACTTTACGCCCTAACTTACGCCTACCCATGAGTAGACGTAAAATTTTGGCCTAAATTTAGTCAGGCGTAACGATACGCTCTTTAATGAAATGCAAATATTCGTGCTAGTCCCGACTTTACGCCGGCGTAGCGCTACGACTGGGCGTACGACCTTTGATGAAACGGACCCCAGGGTATTAACTACAGATGATTCTTTTTAAAATTAAAGTTTAATTTAATTTTCGCTGGTAAAATTTAATCATATATAAATTAATGATTTAAAAAAATGAAAAAAAGATTTTAAATTTTCCTTTTCTGGTCATTCACTAGTTCGTCTAATTAAAACGAAGCAAAAATAATTTTGTTTTCATCTTGAATCATTTAAAGCCATATATGGCGTATGTACAATGAAAATTATTAGACTAAAATTATAAGAACTTATTATTTGTATCATTGCTTTATATAAACATGATAAAGATAGAAATTTTCCGTAAATTACAAAATCTAAGTCAATTGCGTTATAAAGATATCAAAATTTAATTTGGATTCTCGGAGTTTTCTCCGACTTGGAAGAAAATACAAAAGATTTGAATAACACATTACAGAAAAGATAAAAGCGTATTATTAGATAAAACGAGGTGTTCTCCGTGCTCCGAATTGTATGAAAAGCTTTAATTTAAATGTATTAACTATATTTCTTTACTTAATTTTGTATTTTTCAATAATATATTTTTTGATCAGTTAGGCCATATATGGCTTTTAAAAAACGCTACATAATTGCATGACACTTATCATTAAGCTGATTGAGTAAATGTATATAATTTAATAATGAGATATCTGTACAAGCAAATATTGCTATATTAAACGAAGGAAAGGGGGGAATTCAAATTAGAAATAAAAGAGTTTTTAAGTAAATCAGTCTTGTAGTACTGCAAAATGGATGCAGTTGTGGAGATTTATGGATAATATGAGCATGCTGTCTGGAATATTTCCATATTAGGGAATTTAATAGCAAAAAAGAGTGAAAATACCGGTGGTGCTTTTCATGCATTACATGTGTATTTTAAAATTCTTAATAGCCAAAGGGGATTCCTCAGTGCAGAAAACCACTAGCCCCATCCTCAAAAATGGAAGCCCCGGGTGTAGCGCGATGCTAATTACACACCCATCATGTGAAATAGTTATAGTAGCCCTATATCAATTTCAGTATTGTTTTAAATTAATTTAAACAAATGACAAAAACAATAATTAAAAAAAAAAATCACAATAAAGCAGACACTCAGTCAAAATCAAAGACAGAAAGAAGCACTGTTTTGACTGAAAGTTTTTCAGTAATACAATGAATCTCTTAAGTTACATATCAGATGAGATAAACTTACATACAATTATTTAGTTGTTGTCAATTATCCCATTTTCATCATCTCAGCTCACTTTGCGATTGTAGTACTGTCCACATGAACCGATAATTTACAGCTGATTTATGAACACACGATTGTTAAAATTTTCATTTCCCTTTCCAATATTCATTGTCAGAACATACTTAGTTGGTTATGATATAAAATTAAATAATAAACACTTTCGATTTATTAAAGATTATCTAACAATATACGATCATTTACTAAATACTTCTCGCCCTCAAGAGAGTTAAAAAGACAGAGAAAATTCAAAATACAAACAAGTGCAACTTAGGATTAATTGTTCCGATATATCTATTTTAAATTTTGTGCACAATTGTTTTCAAAATTACATTAAAATCTATTTTCCTTAAACAAGAACCAAGCAATAGATAAATATTAATCGAATAAACTTACCTTTTCTCTTGTCAATCAGAAAATCTTGTTGACATTAAGTGTCTCTTAGTCTCCATATTTTTTTCCATGAAAACAAACGTTGTCATGATCAGGATCAACGGAAGTTGATTTTCGGAACTCTCGAGAATTTAGAGTTCCGAATGTAAAACTGAAACAACAAAACACGGTGCGTCCGTGAAAGCAACTTTTTTGGACACTTTTTTGGACAAATCGTCGTGTCCAAGTTTTGTTGGGTACTAACCTGCAAATACCCAATTAGGGTGTTTTAAGCATATTCAGCGACACTTCTTATTGGGTATACCCAATAAGCAAAAAGTACCCAATAAGTACAATCTTGGCATGAAAAATACCCAATAAATGCACTCTCGTAAACACGGACGGACAGACGGACGGACGACGGACAAAATGTGATCAGAAAAGCTCACTTGAGCCTTCGGCTCAGGTGAGCTAAAAAACACAAAATTGAAATCCAAATTCATCGTTCTTTATAATAGTTTACAGTTCGCAAATTACAATTTACAATCTATTTACCATGCAACTTCAGTTTAAAAAAAATATCGACTGTTAAACTATTTTTCTCTAACTTTTATAATCATGACGTGTATACAGTAATCGCTAATGATTTTTTCCCAGTGATTAGAAGGGGGGTCCAACAGGTCTTTGTGAGAAATGTTTGAAACTTCGATAATCTCTTTCTTATATATATAATTCAAAACGTCGTTAACTAAATTTTCAACCAATAAGCAATAGATTACAGTAATTAAAAAAACTTGTTTATCAAAAGTGAAACTATGTTTAACTCATTTTTGTAAATTTGACGAGTCAGATCAATTCTTTGCTTCAATTAAAAACACATTCCAATCCCCAATCGTTGTGAAAATTTGATTTATTTCAATTATAAACTGCAAGTTTTTTTTAATCCATATGTTGCCAAATTAATTTAACGGTAGATCAATGAGAAGACAAACATTTATACCCATACCTGCAATTAGCGCATCATTCAAATTCCAGTTCCCCAGATGTGGAATAGAGCCGGTGACAGCAAGTGCCAAGTTGTGATGCAGATTTTCTAAGTGACATTGTATTTCAACTCTAAAAGAGCCGAAGCTTGTTTGATTGTCGCACACAGCCATTTTGTGAAACTATGCAATTAATTGTGACGTAAAGGTACACGTAACATTACTATGACGTCACAACTAACCTTTTAATTATGACGTCATTATGGAGTATTTTTGATGATAGAAACATCAATACTTCATAGCACAAAAATACATGTAACAGAATTTGGAATACATCAACAAGATGTGTTTGTGAAACACTGATTAGCCCCATATGGCAACACAGCGAAGGTTAAGCTTTCTTAAATGCAGATCAAATATGCTGGTACCTAAAGTAAGGCCTTTCCAGAAGAAATACAAATGTGAAATATAAAACCTTAGAACCAACTGTTCAAGGGTTATGACCAAGGTTAACATTTTTAAAGGTAGGACAAACTCCGGGGTCAAGGTCAAAGGGTCAAGATTGTGTGTTTCTAAAGAAAGGCCTTGTCTCAAAGATAACATATGGGAAGTATGAAAGCCCTGGGTCTTACAGTTCAAAAATTATGGCCAAGGTTAAAGTTTCTAAAAAGTAGGTCAAACTCCAAGGTAAAGGTCAAAGGGTAAAGGTTTATGATACTAAATGAAAGGTCTTGTCACACAGATTACATATGTGAAATATGAAAGCTCTAGCCCCTACCGTTTAAAAGTTATGGCCGAGGTAAAAGTTCGAGTTTGGACAATTTCCTTTTTTGCTTGCCAACTATTAAAGGTAAGTTAAAAAAATTATTTGGCTGCCCCCCCCCCCTTTCAAAAACGATGCTACGTGCCTGGTATATAACAAAGAAAATGTTTCAAATAACCTGTTTGTAACAACATAACTAAGGGTCATACCAGTGACCTTGAAATTAAAAAGCTATTATCCTCGAATCTTCCATCGTTAACATTTTGTAACAATTTTAATATAACATCTCGCTTAAAGGTAATTTTACGGAAGTTTAATGCTTGAATAAGATCTATAATTTCTAGATAAACCTGAGCCACTAATTTATCATTTTCTGATTTTTTGTAGTTTAACATGAGCCCGGTGATATTTAATTTCTTATTTAAAGCACAAAATACTAGTAGTTGCGTGTGCCTATCGAAAGAAAGATAACTCGTTGTTTTCACGACACCAGGCCAAGTTTGGAATTGCCTTGGAGTGCGAGAATTTTCCTTGCATTCCGTTCTGCCCTTCTTGATGTTCGTGTGCATGTTTGCAAAACTTTGATTAGCTAAATTCCATCTTATTTCTTTAACCTGTTACTCTCATATCAGTCTTGAAAAAAACTTTGAGGAGAAAAAAACGAGAAACATAACAAATAGTTTCAAGTTTCCAATAAAAAGTTATAATCCTATAAATGTTATTTCATATATGTAAAGCATCAAAAATTAAACAAATGAATAATCAAAGAAAGAAGAAGCAAATCCAACTTGATGAGTCAAAATTTAAAAGCAAAATATGAAAAGGAAAGAAAAAAAAGGATTTTTTTTAACACCAGTCACCAAAAGTGAATCTAAATTTCAAAAGATATCTCTGTTTATTTCAGACATCCGAATACGAACCTTTTATAGTTTTCTTAAACATTATCTTCTCCATAAATAACACACGCTACTTCGGTGCAATTACTAGGCTGTAATTAAATACTATAATGTGTACCTACTTTACAGTATAGGAAACTGAGCAACACAAAGTTCAAAGTGCAAGTTTCATTTGTTTATGTTCTAAAGTATTAATTGCATAATCACTGCTGCATACAATTTGTCTTGAAAAGTTGGTGTAACATTTATATACATTTTTCATTATTAATTTATAATCCTTTACTCATTCATTCATTCATCTTTTATTTCCTCTGTTACAGAGATTTTTGACATGACAATGACATATAAATTATAACTTAATCATAATGTGAGAAAAAAAAATACATATTGTAAGTAATAAAAAGAGAAAAAAAATAGAACAAAAATACACAAAACTGAAAAAAGCAGAAAATATTACACATATGATACACTATTTTATGTAAAGGATAGCCATCCAAGCAGAGAGTGGGGCGGTGGGGGGTTATCCATTTACAAATCTGAGATTGCATTGTCTATTGTAGAGTGCACAAGAGGAGACGATGTGTACGTAATTCAGTTTTCTAAACTGGATTTCTTTTTCTGCTGACAAGATTGTAAGTGGTGGTCTTCCAAGAAGAATGTTGAATAACTCATCTTCAGGAAGACCACATAGTTCAGCTTCAAGGTGAACGGTAAACGATTCTGAGAGAGAGTTCCACCATATGTTATGTTGGTTCAAGAGGGCTGGACAGGATATTGTCGCATGTGAAAAAACGTCTGTAATGGGGTAATTTAAGTTTAAGGCCAATTGATACGTTACTATGAAAGATAACTCTTAATTGCATATGTATTTTTTTCAAATTTTACCCTGCCAGCTATGCTATATATAGATATACATTGTATCATAAAATACATATCTTTCTAAAATCGTTAAAGTTATTAACCTACATTTTTGCACGAGTGACCGATGTGTTTGCGAACTTTGATAGGGGTGTTCAGTG